GAAAAGGTATTTACGGGAACAGACATAGTTCCCGTACTGCAAGAATCTACTATTTTTACTCCGAGTAGATTTTTGCAGTACGGGAACAGACCAATAGTGTCTAAGATACATGTGTTGATTTGTTGATTTTTCATAGAAAACAACACAGACGAGGAAAATCGTTGTGCATCAAGTGTCCAGCAGGAACAACACACATGACGTAAGCAGAAATCACAATGGATTGACTCTGATACGGAGTGTTGGGCAGAAATGAGGAACAATTTTTTCTTTGGTAAATTGTGCAACGTGCAGTTGAAAGCTAGTTCGGGAAAATGCGACTTACTGGCCCATTCAAAAACAAAAAACATTTAACCAAAAAAATATGAATTTATTTATAAATTATATGCTGCCGATTTTTAAAAATACAAATGCCGATTATGCCGATTTTTTTCTGAAAAATTGACGATTTTTCATGAAATTTAACTGGCAGCACTGAATAAAACATATTAAACATTTCATCTAAATAGTCTAATGATTGAATTTGATATTTATTATATATTAACATTCCACCCACTGTGTTTACTATTTAATACTATATGCGCAGTTCGGATATTTGTTCTCCTAGCTTTGTTTGGCTGGTGTTAATTTGTTGCTTTATATTTTTGTTTTGATTTTCAATTTAATGTTTTCACAAATTTTTTTTATTATTATATTCGTCACATTTTTTTGTGATATGATTTGTACAACAACAATATTGCAAAAAAGGGGTAAACAAGCGGATTATTTTTTTATGGAATTGACCAGCCTATGCCGGTAAACAAAAATTTTGAAATTTATTGCTATCGAAACAAGTGACCATCGACATACAAAAATAGTTTTATTTTTTGTGCCGGCTATTAAAAACATAATTTGATAACCCTCCCTCAAGGAAAAATATTGGTATAAAGTCCGAAAAAATACGTCATTTCAACATAGAATATAGGATTGGGATTTTTTTTTTTTTGGTTAACAAAATGTCGAACATATTTGCTGAAGCAAATGATCTTGTCGAATATTTGACGAAATTTTGGAGAAAATGCAAAAAAACTGTTCCTCTTTTTTAAAATTCGAATTTCTCAGCAGTCAATATTTGTGAATTTATTCAACAAATGTTTAATATATTAAAGATATAATAAAATAATCATTACTGTAATATTCCATAATCTAATCCAATATTACCACACACAAATTTATGCAATGACAAATATATACAATTTATTTTTATCCATATATTTATCATTCGATTGATCTGTTGCCAACGTCTCTAATACTTGTAGTGGTTTGTTTCAATTGTTTTTAATTAAGAAAACAAAAATAATAACAGGAAAAACAACAAAATTGTTTACTACTTAAGCTTAAGTATCGTTGATTTTTTCTCTATATATTTCAAGCACGTGTAAATTATAAGCAATGAGTAAAGACCGAGAGAGAGAGGACAAAAACAAGTCTATTTTAATTGTGTTATTTTCAAAAATATTTACAATTTCTATTAACACGATAAGTTGCATCTAACCTTAACACTTTAATTCTAAGAGTTCGAACAAATATTAGTTTATTTAATAACATCGAAATAAGTTATTATTAAGAATATGAAATTGTTATCATCATGTTGTGAAACTTCTATCGAGTATCGATGTTGTCTTCTACTTCACCTTTCTATCGGATTCGTAGCCTTCTTCTTCTGCGTGGACCATCACTTGGCTCGCTTTTATATGCATTTTGAGTGGGGGAATCCCCATTCATTCTCACAACGTGACCTAGCTAACGTATTTGCGGCAGTTCGATCCGTCTGATTATTGCGATGTTCGAAAATAGATGGTACAGCTCATGGTTCATTCGACGACAATATTCAACGTCAACACAAATCGACCCATAAATCTCCCAGAGCATTTTTCTCTCAAACACTCCAACAGCTCGCTCAAGCTGCTTGCGAAAGTACCCTTGCTTCAGATCCATATAACAGCACGTTTAATATTTGCATCTTGTAGAATGTGTGTTTGGTCTGGTTGCTTACTCAGACCCTAGAAGCATCTGTTGGCCAACACAATCCTTCTCCGAATATCAAAACTGATGTCATTAGTTTTATTTATGGCGGTACCGAGGTATAGAAAATCGTTTACTACCTCATAGCTGTAGGTCTCATGTTCCACAGTTGTTACGAGTCTACGGAACGTCTTTCACGTTGATACCATCAGCTTAGCCTTCTCGCCATTTATTTTCACTAGTCACTTTGCCAAACTCGTTTTCAATTTGTTCAAAGGTGGCTATTATCGCTCGTAATGTTTGACCAATTATGTCGATGCCATCGGCGAGTAGCAAGTGTTGTTTGGTGTAAAGTTAGCCATTTCTGTTCACCTTACCTTTTCCAGCAGGATGTTAAAAAGGTCACACGACGAACGGCCACCTCGCATTAAAGGGCTCCGATAGGTCCTTTCCGACTTCAACTGCTGACTTTGTGCCAGTTAAAGGCATTCTGCATAGCCATATTAATTTTGCAGTAATAACGATCACGGACATGATTTTAAACACCTCTAAACAGATTCGTTTGTCGAATGCGGCTTTATAGTCGACGAATAGGTGAAATGTGTCGATGAGTCTTTTGCAGGATTTGGCGCAGTGTGAAAATCTGGCCTATCGTGGATTTGTCAGGTCTAAAGCAGCATTGATATGGTCCAACAATGTCATTGATCATTGGCTTCTGTCGTTCACAGATCACGTTGGAAAAGAGGCTAATTCCTTTATAGGAAAACCATCTGATCGCCGGTCTTGAATACTTCGGCTGGCAACCCATCGGTACCTGCTGCTTTCTTATTTTTCAGCCATTTGATTGCTAATCTGACCTCATCTCGGCTAGGTTGTATACACTCTATACCGTTACCTCTTATTGTTTCTAGGGTATCTTCTTCAGCGCCAATTGATACAAAAAACTTTGCAAAATACATTTTCCAGACCCTATTCTGTTAGTTGTTAGTTGTCACCAGAATTCCTTCTTCATCCCTACAGGAGAATGTGCTTGGTAAAATTTCCGGAATTTATTCGTTTTCATGTTCTTTTTTTCTCTCTCTCCTTTTCTCCCGACAATTCTCTCTGGAGAGGAAAATATATTATGTCTCCGAAATTCTATTATCTAATTTATGAATTTTAGTGGTTTTATAGCTACAATTTCTGCTGATTTATGGGTATACCTACGATGATAGAATAGGAGCTGGTTATCTCTATATAGAAGACTTTTTCCATTCAAAGTGGCTAAATTGCTCGGAGACCTATAATTGGCACGAATTAATCTTTCAACGACTTTGTCGTGCTGAATGCTATCTCTTAATAACTTATTTTATAAAGTTGCCGCTAGGTCTAGGAACCTCAGAGCGCTGGTCATTAGAAAGTTATCTATTCGGCTGAAGTCTGTGGGATCGTACACTACTCTATAAGTAGGCAGTCGCCCTTGTTCTGGGCTTAAGCCCAAGCAGGACTTAAGAATCTGCCTCTTCCAAATGCGTAGCCTCTCCATTTGGTGGGAAGAGATCCAAACCAAACAGGGAAGGTATACCCAATTAGTGGCCTTATTACCTGTTTGTACGCAAGAAGCATAACTCTAACGGACAGTCCACCAGTTGCTGGTAGTACCAAAACACGTACTCAATATGTCATACAAATTCAAATTTGATACTTAAGTTATCTCCCAGAAATTGAATCTTGTCGGAGTTTCTTATTGTTTGCCCTGCAATAGTAAGAGTAGGTTCATACTGTCTGGCGCTGGGGTATAAATATTTCTTCATACCTTTGAAGGCTATTGCCTCAAACTTATCGACATTTAGATGCATTTTCAAAGTTTGGAAGTATTCGGAGAGTTGCTCCAAATATAAACTCTCTTCTATATTTAATGTTCCATTATGAATCAGCTGTTTAATTTGCCTTATTTATTTTGCGAATACAATCTATTATAACCATTAAAATGTCAAATTAATACGTCATCGGGCATTGCTACCATTTCTTCCTTGTTGAAACAAAAAATAAACACACACAATTTTTCACATTAAATACGCATGTAAATTATTATTATTTTCCGGTTATAAATTATGAATTATATAGTCATAAATATATACACAACTGTGGCAATGAGAAGTCAAGAGCATTACAAGATCGACGAGACATCTCTATCCCTCTCAATTTATTGCATATGGAGATCTTTGTCAATGTCATTACGGCAAAATATTTTTTTTTTATGAGTGTATGAAATGATTATTTAAAATGTAGGTAAATATTATGTATTTTGTTGTCAAACGAGCGTATGTATGTAAATATTATGTATTATATGTATATATTTATCTTTTGAAACAAAACACATGTTTTGTTTTCTTTAGACTTTGTTTTGTTTTCCAAAAAACATGAAAACCAGCATTCTAGAGTTGTTATTGTGAGTGTGTGTGCTGTAAAAGAAGAAGCATAATTTTTGAGTACTTGATAATTTTTTTGTTATTGTATTCCCCACTCAAATTACTTAGTGAATATGAGTAGTAAATATTCACTCCCAGCTTGCATGGCTGGCTTCTCTCTGTTGTTTATTTCATTATAAAATCGAGTATTTTCTATGCCCATATCTGTATCTATGCATGTGTGTGCGTGTCAAGTTTTGTTTTCGCTTTGGAGAAAAAAAATCTAAAACAAAAGAGCCATGTTAGCCACCACAAATGCTTAGTTTTATTACAGCTACCAAGCAAACCGTTAAAGCTAACAAAAAAACCGGAGAAAAGATATTTATTCCAAATAAGGGAAAAAAGTGAAATATTAATAAAAAAGATACACTATTGTTATAAAATACAAAGAAAGTTAAGAAATCGAAGAGAATAAAAATTTTTAGCTTGCAAAAGTGAAAAAGAAAGAAAAAAATTGCAAAAAATCAAAAAAAAAAATTTTTGTGTAAACAAATTGGCAATTTTATGAATTAATACATTTATTATAAAAACAAATTTTTTACCAAGTCAGCAACAAAATGCCGGCTGAAATTTGCACACAACATTTTATACAACCAAGGTAGGTTTTGTTGATTATAAAATAAATTTAAGGAAAATATAAAATATTTTCTTAAGAAACTTGGAACAAAAATATTTTGAAATTGAAAAACAATATCAAATAATTTTTTTAAGGTGCTCGGAAAAAATATTTGGAAATTGAAGAAATTAAAGAAACTGAAATAAAATTTCAAAACATAATTTTTTAAAGAATTTTGTGGCAGCTTTAACAAAAATATTTAGAAATTAAAACACAGATTTAATTAGAAATCTCATAATAAAGTTGTTAAAATGGGCTAACGGAACGTTGTGTGAATTAATTGGAAGAAGTTGAAACAGGTTCAAATATTATAGATTTCTAATAAATTTTATGATATTGGTTCGACGTGCTATTCAGTTCATTGTCCTTTCGATTTCGCATCTTGCTCATTTTGATGTTAGTATGATTGCCGTGGAAGATAGATTTGAATATCCTCACTTTAAAAACATTAATTGGAAGGGTGTCTTTCAGTGTTTATCAGATTGACTGATCACACGAATTATTATCAAACCAATATTTCTGTTGATAAGTGCCAAATTATTAACAATTGATTTCAAAAACTTTAATCCAATGTTTCAGTTGTAAAGAGATACATAACGAGCTGATAATTAGATTAATGCCAAAAACGTTTTACATGCTAAGTCTTTAATAGATTAATCTTACAGGGCATATCTAGAAAATAGTTGTCCCTTTAAGTGGAGAGTTATAGGGCAAAGAAAGTTATGAAATATTTTAGATTTTTGTCATAAATTATTATTAAATATCCGAAGCTGCTATACATCCTCAACACCGCTATATTTTCAGTACATAAAGTTTATAGAGCCCGGTTCCTGTCTTTTACTACACAATTTGATAGCCTTTCATAACAAATATGCCAAAATTAAAACCTCTCAAGAAATTTTCGAAGATTTACCTTCGCCATAGGCTGGTACAAAGTTTGGACATAGGCTGATACAAGATTTGGACCAGACGAATACTTTTTTAATACTCATTTTTCTCTCTAGAACTCTTGTCTTCTTACAATGTTTTCACTTCTAATTTTTTTTTAATATTTGACATTGAATGCATTTTAGAACTTATATCCCGGCTTCACCTACAACCAAACAACTCAAATTCTCGCCCACCACTAACAAAATGACATTCACTCAATTATCGTAAATTTTGGTCTCATAAAATATCTTACAAATATAAATGCATGCACTTCTATGTTATCTAGACCTTTCCCAACATTGAGTGAAATTTACGCGACACAAATACTAGTGAGTGAGTGACCTTACATTCATTAGAACATGCATGTAAAATATTTATAATTCTAGATTTTTTCTGCTGTTGTTGTTTATGTAAAGAAAATAAAAATTGAAGGGGGTATTCAGATTTTTTGTCTGATATTTTCGCATTGCAAAACAATTATTATGGCAATCAACCTTGGCATGAAATGATATTTCAACACTTGATTTACAAGTAGATATAGATTTTGAAATTGAAATTTTAATGCCAATAGAAATTTGTTGTGAAATTGAATTTGAGAAAATATAGATAAAATATTTTAAGAAATCTGATGAAGCCACCAAAAAGATCGTTAGAAGTAAATTACCACTTTTGCAATAGATTTTTTTTGAGAATATTCTATAGATTGAAAATCATACGGAGACGGTTTTTGACAGAAACCCTTTTGGCTAGCGTTCTATAGATAGAAAAATTTATGTATGTAATATTTCTATTTCTATCGACTGCTCTGAAAAATAAGATACTGATATGACACAAATGTCCAACTTATACATCCAATTTCGCTAAAACTTTGATATAAATTCCTAAAAAGAACTATGTTCCGAATTTCATGCCAAGTCATTTCCTCTATTTCATGACAGATTTCATAGCACTGTATGCATTAAATACATTTTCTCTACCACTCCTCATTCCACAAATCAATTTTTCCCTTACTATGTATTTCTAGTCAATAAAATAACGATCATAAAATTTATTACCCATAATAACTACTCAGCAAATAACCTTCTCAACAATTTTATATTACCTTTTTTTTAAATTATAATTAGCCTCGTAAAAAATTGCCGATAATTATCAAATAACTGAGGATCTAAATAAACTGCGCTAGCTAAATAAATTAGAATATGCCGTCATTTGTTAGAACATTTAAGTGGTGAAAGTGTAACTAAATGTAATGCCAAATGTTATTGTTTGTAAATTACAAAAACAAAAAACTATGCAATTTTTCTGACGGTAATTAACACGTTATTAGATTATAACGAGTAGGTGCATCATGCATGCAGCCCAGCAACAGACCCACATTTGGGCAGAGAACTTTTCTAATAATTATTTTATTAGAAAAGTGAAATTGAACTGAGAAATATAAATTAATACTAAAAATCTTAGAAGAAGAAGTAGATTTAGCTGTGACTAAATTTGTTATCTTTCAATGTGATTTCTCCAGCAATTACGATGAAGTTCAACATACAAACAAAACACAAATGTCTTAAAATTCTAATGAATATGAACACCAAAAAGCAATGGAAGAAAAACTAGTTTGCGAATTTTTATTTATTTGAACCGAGATGATACAGACCAATGCAGAAGGAGAGTAGAGGACGAGCTTAATTAAATGAAGAAAAATAAAGTTTGGAAACTTGTAACCATTCCTGCTAACACAAAGTCGTCGACGTCTAAGTGGATCTTTCAAATAAAAGAAGATGGAGACCACTACTGTTTTCTAACAACAAAACAGACTCGGGAAAAGTTGGTCTTTATACATAAAGTTTGGAAAATCGTAACCATTCCTGCTGACACAAAGTCGTTGACGTCTAAGTGGGTCTTTCGAATAAAAGAAGATGGAGACCATTCCTGTTTTCTCAACACAGACTAATTGGTCAATCGGCCTACTTACATACCAATTGGCCTTTATAAAGGTCTGCGGTCTCTATGCAGACCAATTCGACTATATATACAGTATTTCCCGCTTAATTCCCCGCTTAATTACCTTCCTCGGTTAATTAATCCGATTTCAGAATACCCAGTTATTTTCAGTACAAACCCTTACACAATTGCACGTCTAATGGTAATTTTAATTACCCATTTCATTTATTTTTCCCTGAATAACCTACCCCAAAGTAACCGTACCTTTAAATCTATTCCCTGGTACAATGAATAGGTAGTCCATTTAGAGCAGCTGATGTCTTGATTAACTGCCAAAGTGGTAAATTTTACTTGAATTCGATATGCAATGCTGCCAAATTTTTGAAATATTATAAGGACAAATTTGACAGATAATCGAGACAAAAAACTGTTTTTGTTTTGATACATCACCTTATTATTGCATCATGATCTGTTCCATGCAATTACCCAATGTATTTTTTTTTTAATCTGGCAACTTCACTTAAAATGGCTTACATTTGCTAATGCACTTGTCACACATGTGCACATAAAATCTATTGTTCTGAAAGTTTTCGTGAAATGTCTCCCAGAAATACATCTTTTTCTATCAAACTAAAGCTCCAGTTAATATCTCAAGCAAAAAAGGAAGAAAAAACAAAACACCAGTGTCCACCGATATTTACCCTCGCTGGGTAATTAACCGGGGTCCACGGCTAATTACCCTAGCGAGGTATTTAACCATTCATTGAAATTTTCACTGAGGTAATTAAGCGGGGTTTACTGTAATGTGAATCCATAACACTAATTATTTCAATCAAAAAAGAATTCCAAATTCTAACCAGAAGTATTTCTATAACAAACACCAACTTAACTTATCTAATAAGGTTCCACACTTAAAAGTGATCTGTCTGCGATTAAATAATTTGTTATTAATGTATTTCTTGTTTTTTTCATATCAATTACACACAAATACTCTTTCGAAATACAGAATTTATAGACATTAGATAAAAAAAAATGTGAAGGTTGATTTGTTGTAACTCAAATTTATGTCATAATATTTATATGACAAAGTCCATATAGATTTATAAAATAAAACAATAGAATTAAAACTGAAAATAAATCGTTCATTGGGTATTTATGACAGAAATTCATACAACAATTTGAAATTACAAAAACAAATTGTGTTGTTAATTTAAAAAAAAAATTACTTTCATTTATTTAATAATATTTTTCTATAAAGAGGAAAAAATAAATAACTATTTCCAATTACTGTTGTTGCCATTTGTATAATTCCATTATAAATATGTATGATTGTTTATTTTTTATCCATAACAATCATACGAATCAAATGTTTGATTCTATAAACAAAATTAAAAATTCTAGACAGAATAACACATTGTTTATTATTATCATTGTTGCTTTTGTTGTTATTTTGATTTTTGCTTCTAATAATGGCATTCATGTTCAGGTAAACAACTCATATGGGGGGTTTTAATTAATTGCGCATGCGCGCAAAGTTTAAATAAACAACAGCCGGTCGGTCGGTCAGCCAATCGTTTACGAACATATGTCGTGTGGATTACGTCAATTGTTTACGAGCAAAATTGTAATAAATAATTAAATGATATATTGTTTTAAGAATAAATTGAATAATTGTAACAGAAAAAGGAAGTATTTGCCGAGTAGTACTTAAGTGTCACAATAAGGAAAACACTCGTTGAGAATATCTAAATCTAATTATCAAATCAAAATGGATAACGTCACTTCGTTATCATCACACGCTTGCCATATGTGATCCACCATAAATATGGAACGTGATAGCAAATTTTACTTTATTGTTTTGCTGTGATAACACAGAAATAGGTAGTTCCTTCTTTTTTTTTGATTTCAAGTAGCATCTGAGTGCCATAAACATTGAATTATATCTTATCGAATTTCAAATATTTATATGGGTTATTTATTTAGCAGCGCTTTTTTAAAAAAAAAAAATAAAAAACAACCACAAAAAACGTGGCAGGTAAACAAAATATTATTTTTGTTGAAGGTTACGCCCCACACATGAAAATGAAAGTTAAAAATAGAGTAAACATATCACCACAATGTAAACAAGCTAATAAATCAAAATACAAATAAGGACACCAATTATATTACGCAGCATTTGAAATAATTGCGTCTATTGTTTCCAATATTAAAATGCATATGAAGCGAGAACTTGGCCAAACCTCCATATGGACATCTTTCATATTATCCAATTAAATACAGACTTCAAGGGAAACTATTCGTTGAGTTCTTGCAAACTAAAGTTTTCCTTTTTTTAGAAATTAGATCTTGAAACGGATCAACTCTATTTTTATGCCATGTATATATTTTATTTCCGATAGTGTAATACTACGTTTACATTTAACTGGATTAACCCAGTGGATTTCAATTGTCAATTCCTTTGCATATATGTCAAATAAATCCTCATAAAGTAGGTTAACCCGGTAGAAATTTCTAATGTAAATGCCGTCTAAAAAACCCTTACCTTCTTTTAATCGAGTCATCAGCTGCGCTAAATGGACTACTTATTTTTTTGTGCCATGTGTAGTCCATTCAGCGCAGCTGATGTCTTGATTAACTATCAAAGTGGGTAATTTCTACTTGAATTCGAGTCCAGCTGCATATCACCTGCCTCTCAAGTTTGCTGTCAATATTCATTATTCTGAATTGACCTCTATTATGAAAATGTAAAAAAAGTCCAATGTTTTGACGTTAGACTTGGGCAAAACAGCTGATTTTCGCTAGCTGGCCGTATTAATAGATTTTGTTCTTAATCTTATTACCTTTTTATACAATCAATACTAAATGAGAAATTTAGAATCTTACCTAAAAAGAACCTAATATCAGTAAACTCCGACCTTTTTTAATAAATCTATTTTCAAGGCATAGTTTTAAGGATTATGCCTAAGGCATTCATATTTAAGAATGGAAGTCGTGTAGGCAGCATGCTGTTGTACTATTATGTTAAGATTCAAAGTATAGTCCACCAAATTTTGATAGTTTTATTGTTATATTTCTATTCAAGATTTTTTTTAAATCAAAGTTTAATTCTCGAAATCCCTGCAAAATCATTAAAAAAGAGTCTTGCAAAATATTCTTAAAATTGCCACATTTTTTCTCAGAAAGCCATTTCAATCAATTTCAATCTACCATTTCTTTTGTTTCTTAAATATATCTCCTTTTATATATTAATTTTACTAAAAATGCTCATTTTTTTCTCTTCTCCTTTACAGAGCTACAGCTCCCTTGGCCACTGCAACAGCAAACTACTCGGGTATCGATAGTCCCATTTCGTCATCACCCAGCGACAGCACACCACCATACAACATGAACAAACTCTGCCGTCAAGTGTCAATTGAATCGCCTGGTCCACAGGTCAGAAATTGTGTCTTCAATTTCTTTGTACCCATCGAAGATACACCGGCCATGGGTGCACGCATCAAAATCGTTTGTGCCGGTGCCTGTTATCGTCGTCGTGATCGTTCGGCCTCAATAACCAGCATGTCTTCGATTTCCTCCGATCTGAGTGATTATTGTCCAACGCAATCATCGCCAGCACATGCTGGCATTCGTGAAGGTTCATTCTTCCCTGGCTTCGAAGTGGCCGGTGTTATTGAATCCCTCGGAAGTGGCATTAATGATTCGAACAATTGTGGTTTACGTATTGGTCAACGTGTCATTGTCTATCCATTCGATGAAGCACCTGCTGGTTATGCTGAACTATTGGTTGTACCAGATTTAAAATATGTTGTACCAATACCGGATAGTTTGCCAATTTGTGTAGCGGCTATGTTGCCAACCGGTGCACTAATGGCCATGAATGCTGTCTTCAAAGCGGAAGAGGTTGTCAGGGAATTGTTGAAGAAACGCGCACCCGAAGAAGCGGATAAAAAATGTAAATTGCTGATTGTTGGCACTGGCGGTTTGGCATTGTGGGCCGTTCGCATTGCATCGTATCATTATGCCGCAACTGGAGCAGATAAATTGATTGACATCACTGTGGCTAGTCTGCGTGATGAGGGCTTCCGTTTGGCTACAGAAATTGAAAAGTAAGTAGAGAAAATTAAAAAATAAGGTTTTTATAAAGACAATAGGACTTTATATACATAAACCATTTCAGGATTCCTAAAATTCATTCGTAGCATCTGTAACGTTTTCAATTTCGGCCGGTTAAACAATTTTGGGAAAGGTTTCTGGACGTACTAGCTCTGATTGGTCTATATAGAGACCATATATCTTTATGTAGACCAATTGGTCTATATTGGGACCATAGGTCTTTATAAAAACCTATGATATCTATATGAACCAATTAGAGACAGTTCTGTATAAAAAGTCCTTTAAAGACCAATTGGATGTTATAACACAGGTCTTTATAAAGACCAACGTTAGGGACCACAGGTCTTTATAAAGACCAATTGGTCTGTATAGGGACCACAGGTCTTTATAAAGACCAATTGGTCGATATGTGGACCAAAGGTTTTCATAAAGACCATTTGGTTAGTATAGATATCAAAGGTCCTTTGCACAGCCGAACTTTACTGAACGAGCAAATACCAAAGGCTTTAGAACAATAAAAAATAACAATTGGTCTATATTGAGACCATAGGTCTTTCTAGAGACCAAAGGTCTTTATAAAGGCCAATTGGTCTGTATACAGATCAAACGTATTTATAAAGACCAATTGGTCTGTATGGAAAACACAGGTCTTTATAAAGACCAATTGGTATGTATAAAGACTAATTGGTCTGTATAGAGACCATACGTCTGTATAGAGACCACAGGTCCATATAAAGACCAATTGGTCTGTATAGGGACCACCGGTCTTTATAAAGACCACCGGTCTCTAAAAAGACCAATTGGTTTGTATAGAGACCACAGTTCTGTATAGAGACCACACATCCTTATAAAGACCAACTGTTCTGTATAGAGACCACAGGTCTTTATAAAGACCAATTAGTCTGTATAGGGACTACAGGTCATTATAAAGACCAGTTGGTCTATATGTGGACCAAAGGTTTTCATAACGACGATTTGGTTAGTATAAATATCAAAAGTCCTTTGCTTTGTCCCACCAAGAAAAACCAATTTCCTTTTTTAACTGAATTTTTACTTAATTTTCTCCTCTTTTTCATCTTCTTTCAGTGTCAGCGTTGTCCAATGGAATGAATGCCTCTATGAGCCACAATTAATTGAACGCACAAAAGATGTGTGTGGCGGCACCGTCGATGTTGTCATTGACTTTGGCACCACTTCACGTTCCCTGCACCGTTCTATGCATTGCCTCAGCAAGGGTGGTGTTGTTCTGATCAGTGACGAAGTTGCCGAAAAGCTAATGCCCAAGTTCTCACGCCTTTCGGTCGAGTATCAGCAGGAAATTATTCCCATTAACAATGGTTCCGTTGAACAGCTAAAAGAATTGGTCCAAATGGTGGCCGATAAGAAAATTGAACCACCACCACATTCGGTATTCCCCTGTGAACAGGCAGCTGAAGTTATACAGAAATTGTGTAGTTCTGAGATACCAGGACGTGCCATTTTACGTTTCCATGATATTGAATAATTATTGTTTTGATATACAAAAAAGCGTACTATACACACACACAGCATGTACTACATACATATATAGAATTCATCTCATTATGGCGATCTTTTTTTCTAGTATTCAAAATTTAAACGTGTTTTAAGAATGAAAGAATTTTAAAAGAAAATTGGCTAGTTTTCCAGATATTGTAGACTGGAAATCCAGCCACACATACACAAAAGTCTTTGATAACAACAAAAACCTCTCTCATATTAGATAAGGAAACAAAAACAACAACAAAAGAAAAAACAAAAACCAAAAAAGAAAGGATCATCAAAACAAATCCCTTTTAACAAGAATACATACATAAATGTCTATTTAACTGTTGATATTTGCGTCAAAAGTATGTAGTGGTGAAAAACAGGTGGAAAGGTGTTTAGAACAAAGGAAGGAAGGTACTTTACCAATTACCTCTCCCTCACATACCCACCCCCACCATCATCCTACATACATCTTAATTGATAGGTTCATTGTATTAATATTTAAGACTTTAAATGATCTAATGAAGAAGAAGAAGAAAGAAAATGTAATAATTACTATTATTTTTATTATTTGTATGTATTTTTTAATTAAGTTTTTTTCATTACATAAAAATGTATATCCTATTTTTAGTATTTTTTAATATTTTTTACTTTTGATTTTCCATTATTGGCCTTTTTTAGTTTTATAAAAAATTTATTATTTTTATTTATAAGCAAATCATCCTGCTGCTCCTCCCCCCACCCAGTGTATTTATTATTTGAATGCAATATGTAGTTTTTATTTTATTTATTAGTCTTAGTTTTTTACAAAAATATACAACATAAAACATGTAATGTTTAAATTATAATTTTTTTTTCTTTTTTTAACAATAATATTACCAAAAAAAAAAAAAAACATCAACGGACAAACATGTAAACATTACAACAATGCAACTTGAAAAATAAGTAAAAGTAAAAAATAAACTGTTAAATTGCTTAATTATTAATTATAATGTTATATTTCACTTTGCTTAGATATCACTTGATCAAAATTGATCCTTACAAAACAAAACAAAAAATGGAAGAAGAAAGAATTAAATAAACCAAGGAGTATAAAAACGAATAATATAAACAAAATTAATCATAAACAAAAACAATAACAACATATTTAAGTTATTAACAAAATAAAATCCAAACAATATAAATGATTATTATAATTGCATGTTCTTTTCCTTTTAATATAGCAAAAGAGTTTATAGATCGTAGAAACGATTTGGGTTTCCAAAGCTGACATTTCCGAATTTCTATATTTTCCAACATGGTACAATTATAAAAGGTAACAGCAGCTGACATTTCCCGTAAATTTCAATATGAATTTGACAAATTATGTTTTTTTCCAACATTGGGAACGGATACAATTTGAAATTTGCCGTATTCAATTTCATTTACTTTCCAAATCTTTCTTCAAGGAATCTTAAATATACACATATAGTATATGGCAACTCAATTATAGGAAAGATGTGGAAGCATATATATAAAATTGTTTCATGTTTTTCAATTTTTATTTTGAGGTTTGGAAAATAATTTTCAAAATAAAAATAATTTGAGATAATTTGTTTGGAGGGTAGAACTTACAAAAACAAATTTCCATGTGGTTGGTTTGCCTGTTACCTTTTTTAATACCATGATTTTCCAAATACTAAATTGCCCTCATTTAGTTTTCCTAGAATCTTAAATATACCTAAAACTCTAGGCATATATTAAAATTGTTTGCTGAATTCGACAAATAAAGTTCTTTGGAGGGTCATAATGAGGTTTGCCTATATTTAATCCTGAAAGACTTGAATTTTCCTTAAAAAAATTTTCAACCCCATAAGATTTTATAAAATAGTAGTATTAATAATTTTCTATCTCTAACATTGTTGGTCGATTTGAATTGTTTCCATATTGTACTCTTACTTAGCTGGCTTGTGACAGAACTTTCGTTCCATATTGATCCTTACAAAACAACCCGAGCTTAAAAAAGATTTCAAGGCGCATCGGTCTTTTGCGCAATTTTTTTTCCAATTTAAAAGACCATGTTCGGCAATGTTTGCTTCCACTTGATCTTTCCATCTAATTCATGGCCTTCCCCTTCTGTGTGAACCATCACTGGGTTTAGTATGCCTTTTGAACTGGGGTACTTTCATCCATTCTCACAACATGACCTAGACCGTGGTACAATAAATAGGTAGTCCTTTTAGCGCAGCTGATGTCTCGATTAACTGTCAAAGTTCGTAATTTCTACTTGAATTCGATGTGCAATGTTGCCAACCATATGAAATATATATTATAGGGAAAAATTTGACAGATGGTCGAGACAAAATCAAAGGTTTTTGCTTTGATACCTCACCTTATTACTGCATCATGCGTCTGACTATGTCGATGTCCGAGAATAGTTGTACCATCCATCTCATGGCGATATTCACCATCGACGCAGATCGGCCCATACATTTTCCGGAGAATTTTGTCTCTCAAACACTCCAAGAGCTGCCTTATCTGCTTGGCCAAGTATCCATCTTGTAGATTGGGTTCTGGCGGGAAGTGGCCTTGTTTCTAAACTGCTTATTTAGACCATAGCAGCATCTGTTGGCCAACACCTTCTATGAATTTCATAACTGATGTTATTAGTTTTGTTTCGAGGCGGTATCGAGGTATATAAAATCCTTCCTTATCTCGAACTATAGTTTTCAAGTTCCATAGTTGGTCCGAGTCTACTGGACGTCTTGCGCGTTGATACCATCTGCTTGGTATTCTCGCCATTTACTGTCAGTCCCACTTTGGCAGACTCCGTATCAATTCGCTCAAAGGTGGCTGTTTAAAGCTCACAATGTTCGATAAATTACTCGTATGTCGTCGGCGTAGGCGACTGTGCCACTTCTGTTCACATTTGCGTCTCATATGACCTTTTATAGGTAGGATATTAAAAAGATCATACGACAAACTATCACCTTGTCTGAACCCTCGTTCGGTATTAAGAGGCTCCGAGAGGTCCTTTCTGAGTCTTGTACCAGTTAAAGTTATTCTGCATAGCTGTAGCTGCAGGTTTCATAGTTGATAAGAAGCTTGGAGACGGTGGAAAGTGAGCATCCGCTAGTCTGTGCCGTCTGTAGGCCAGAACTGTTTGCCTCCGTCTCCTCATCGTCAGCACTGAGTCTGCAGTAATCTGTAACATCATGTTCGCATTTACTGGTAAAAGCCCTGATATTGCAATGACCAGTAATGACTCCTGTCATTACTCTACTTTCAGCTTTGCCCAGGTTCAACAGTGATTTTGTCCTCTTGGTTAACAGAGTCACACAGATAGATCTTAACACATTGTACCTAGGTTCGTTGTGCCAGAGTTTATTGGCTCATTCGTCGAAGGACGCCTCAAAGTTCCGAACAAGATGACAGATGGGTGGTTTGATTGAGCAATCCATTGTTAGATCTGTAGAGACGCTCGTCTAGCTAATTTGTCTGCTTTTTCATTACCCATGATGGCACGGTGTCCTAGTACCCAACACACCCGCGAGTGTTTTGAGTGTAGAGCAGCACTCGAGGGCGACATCAGATTTTATATTACAGGATTTGATGACTTTAGAAGCCGCCTGAATATCCACAAAGGTAGTCGCCGGTTCAACGATCTCTGCATCCAGACTTTTTATCAATTCCTCTGCCTTCCAAATAGCGAAGATTTCAGTTTGAAAAACACTACATTTTCTACCCAGCTTGTAGGTAAGCTCAAGGCCTAGCCTTTCACAGTAAACGCCAGCCCCAGTACCTTCTTCCATCTTGAAGCCGTCTGTATAGAAAGCCAGACCGTCCAGAGGAGGGTTGCTACGGTTCCAGTCGCCTCTGCTAGGGAGTGACTTATAGTAACATATTAACTGCTCCTTTGTAACAGCCACTGATTTCTGTTGCCATCGAATTGGCAGAAGTCTGTATTTTTAGCATTACCACAAGGCTTATGTTTTACCTCGATATAAGAAATTTGAAAGAATATGTGGAGTTTTCCATGTTTATGAGGGTGGCATCTAATATCTGAAAACAAACAAAATTGATATATCTATAATTAAAATCTAATAAAAAATAAATTTAAATATCGCGAAGAAACGAATTTCTTTGTTATCAAATATCAGTGAATGCCTACTACACTACTACCAAATTATCAGCTGATTTGCACATCCTTCATGTCTCTTTTCGCCTCATGTATCACACACATTCGTAAACAACGGCGCATGTAGATCATTTTATTTTGATTTAGTTCTTTATCAACCTTTTCCATGCTGTCTCCAATTCATTCGTAGCATTTGGAACGTTTTTAATTTCAGCCGGTTATAACATCTTGGAAAACGTCTCTGGAAGTACCAATCTCTTATTGTTCAATAAACAAGAATTGTAAAACAATTTGTACAAACAACAACGTTATACTAAACACCCCACAATGTCTCCCAAACCATCGCCAATCTGTGTCGATTGCAAAAAAACGGAATCCCTCCTCTGGCGTACAGTCGATAATGGACAAATATGTTTGGCCTGTTATGAGCTACGCGAAGAAAAAGCCACCACAACAGATGAAAGTAAAAATGTAGACAATAGCAATGCCAGCAATACTGAACAGGATAAAACTAAGAAATCTGCAAAGGATGGCGGCAAAGACGTCAAGGAGGAGAAAAAAGATGCAGCAGCGGCCACGGCTGTAGAGGATAAATGTTCGCGTCTGAGAAAAAGTACGCGGGCAACACGTTTTAAGGCCAAACTGGGTTCGAGTAGTACCAGTTCAACAAATGGAAATGGCGAAAAATCCAGCGCAGGCGGTAGTAATTCTAAGACACAGACCAAGGGTCGCAATCGTCGAAGTCTTTTCAAACGTGTACCGTTCAAAACGCCACAGGCTCAAGCCACAACACATTCGGTGGAAAGTGTGTTTCACAAGGTGGGTGGTAAATGTGATTTTTAATTATTTAATAATATTTAATTATCGTTTTTTTCTAGGGTTCCTATTTGCAAGTTGGTGACATTGTTTCGTTGGTTGACAGTGAGGATAATGTCTATTATGCCCAAATCCGTGGTTTGCTAATTGATAGTTATTGTGAGAAGTCTGCATTTTTGACATGGCTAATACCCACGCAGGAGAGTCCAGATCCAAAGGATGGCTTCGATCCAGCTACATATTTGATAGGTAATATGACGAAAAGTAGTATTACGAATAGCCTTTGAAGGTCTTTCATATACAGAAACGTATCTGAATGTGTCTATATATATGGGTAACTTTTGGAAGGACATATTTTCGTACATGACCTCTAGCAGGTGAAATTGAGAAAAATCTCAAATCTGTCACATTGCAAGAAATTTAACATTGATCTGATAGTAGGTGTGTGGATAAATTATCCATCGCTACAACAAAAATCTGCTTTGAAAAGGACTGTTTCTAGAATTAAGACAAATGTCTAACCTTGAAAAATTTGAATTTTATTCGCATATGCAAGTTCGTATCTGGGCGAAATAAATACAAGTTATCAACACACGACCTTTGTAAAGCTACATAGCCTAATATGCCTGATGAGCCGCTTAACCAACGGCGAAACGCGTCACATAATGGTGGGTACGTAGGTTCTTCTCCTGGCTTTCCTTTTCATTGCAAAACTTAGATTATTAAGCTCGACTCGAAAAAGTACAAATCACTCACTTAAAATTAAATTCAAATGATCACTGTCCTTACAAGTCAAAATTCAAATAACAAAATTTGTTTATTATTTTGAAAATCATTTCAGATCCCCATTAAAAATACCCCCACAAAAATTTGGAATATGTATTGAACATGTTCATATGAATGTCTTCTTTTTATAGACTATTTCTATCGTATATCCTTTGAAAGCCTCATATTCTTCAGAAACCCTATAGAACGACCAGCAATATACTTTTTTTTCACAGGAGATTTACAGGAATTTCATCTAAATAATAGATATATGACTTTTAAAACATCTTCAATATTTTTAATGAATACTCTGTATATTTAACCTATTACAGGCCTCAAATCTTTGCAATATCTATAAAAACTTTTTTATGTACAGTAGACCTTCTATAGAATATACATTGAGTCATCCTGCATTATAATATAGTTTGAGCCTTTGTTCGACAGAACTATCTTCTATAAAATACTATATATAAAAAGTGGAGAAAATCCGCAGAAATTTTATATAAAAGTAAAGCTGCGAAAACTTCTCCATAAAGATAGCCAGCATACGCGGGGTAGGAATTCGGTTGGTCAGAAGTTCCCAATCCTTGTGGGATTGTTCTTTTCGTACTTCCTCACGACCTATAGGTGCTTCTTATGGGTGATTCGTTATCCAGCTAAATTGATTTTCGCTTATAGCGTGGTATCCTTATCTACGTATCGCTGGCAATAACAAATTGCCCTTCGAAACGACATTCTATCCATCGCTTCTTTTGCTTTTTTTCAAAGTTGCTTTGGAACTCCCACTTTTAATTTCTATCCCTTCAGAATTAATGGCTTGTCGACTGAAGCCGACATATTTGACGTCCCTGTCAATTTGAGGGTTGAGTCGGTGACATCAGCATCTTCCTCCTCTTCCCATATGTCAGCTTGGATGATCTCTTACCTTAGGCGGAAGCTGCCGCCACTGTTGGTCCTTGAAAAAATATTTATTTAAAAAGTCCACGCCTATTGGTCCTTAAATCAATATTTATTTAAAAAATTCAAGCCTATTGGTCCTTGAAAAAGTATTTATTTAAAAAGTCCACTCCAGTTGGTCCGTGAAAAAATATTTATTTAAAAAATCCACTCCAGTTGGTCCTTGAAAAAATATTTATTTAAAAAATCCACGCCATTTGGTCCTTGAAACAATATTTATTTAAAAAATTCACGTTTGGTGATCCTTTAAAAAAATTTTTATTTAAAAAGATCACACCTGTTGACCCTTGAAACAAATATTTATTTAAAAAATCTACGCTTTTTGGACATTGAAAAAATTATTTAAAAAATCCACGCCTGTTAGTTCTAGAAAATATATTTATTTAAAAATCCACGCCTTGAAAAAATATTTATTTTAAAAGACCACTCCAGTTGGTCCTTGAAAAAATATTTATTTAGGACATAGTTTAAATGTTCCCCACTATTGTGGAGGATCTCGATTCGTTTTCATTTAAAAATTATGTCCTTTTTAATACCTTTGTATAGGTCCCGATGAAGAACTTTCACGAAAATTATCCTGTCTGGAGTTTGTTATGCATGCTCCCAGTAATTATTATTTGGATAGGACAACACCATTTCCGCTTCCCGATTCAATGGAATGTGACACACGTCCTGGTGGTTATATATGGACCAAATTGCCGGAATATCAACGGAATAAGAGCATTGAAGTTTAATGGAAACAGTCAAATTGTACACAAAACAAATAAATATTTATTTAATAATAAAAAATCAAGTTTTTTTTTCAATAATACAATAAAACATAAAAATTAAAAAGAAACACAGAGAGAGACATTAAACATATACTCTTCTTAATATTCATCTAAATTGATATCCAAGTCAGAATCATTTGGTTTTGTTGAACGGCCACGACGTTGCCTTCCTTTTACATTGTTGTTGTTGTTGTTAGATGATGATGACTGTTGCTGCTCACTTGTTGTTGTCTCATTAACAACTCTCCTCCCTGGTGATTTACGCCTTGTTGTGGCTCTACTAACACCCAATGAGGTACTTGGCATTGGTTCCTCCTCAATAACCAATGTAGAATTTGCCACCGGACGCATAGTTGTTGACCTTCCACCACCATCGTTGATACCATGATTGGCCAACAATGACAACACACCATTTGGCATATTTTTCTGGACAACATTCATAACAGCTCGTCCAATGAACATCACGGCTTCACTGGCATAATGGAAGATCATATCCTGGCCACGATGTTTCACTTCTTGCAGGGTACGATCGATGCGTGTCTCATGTTTTCTCAAGAATGGATGTAAACATTTACGATAGATAATTGGACTACCATTGCCCATTGAGGGTAGCAGCCAAAATATTAACAATATCTTCAGTTCATAGTAGAAAGGCAACCATTTGAGGAAGACATCGGTAAACGTTTCAGCTGCTGAGAAAATGGCAAAAACAATCCAATATGTCATCCATTTCATATATTCATCGATAGATTTGGCGCGCACCGTTTTAAAGGAGTAATAGGCAGGATACAGGGTACCGAACGTAAGTATGGTCAGACGCGAGAAAATATTGCTGATCATTTTCTTTTTTTTTAATTATCTGTCTCCGGTTTGTGGAAAATGATTTTAGAATTGTGATAGGTATATTCAAATGCTGGCGGAGAGAACAGATTGAGCGCCAAAATAAATCTGACAGTTCAACAGATGGCCTTAGGGATACTTAAGTCGATTAACGGATTTTTTGTATTGAAAGGATTAGAATCGATTTTTGATCGTAAAAATATCACAAAGTCCAATTTACGATATCGAAATTCGAGTTTCAGAAGCAGCGTATGTTATTGAAATATTTTTTTTTCCCTACACAAAAATATTTTTAAGCAACTGTCGAAAGCGTAAGAATATTGGTCTGTTCCCGTACTGCAAGAATCTACTGCTTCTATCAGAAATGTAGTTTATTTGGAGAACAATTTTATTCATAAAAAATATCAACAATTCTATTATAATCACAACTTTGTGCAACTGACGATTGTTTGGGTATCTTAGCAGAAGTTTGTTGATCATCCGAGGACCTCATTCTCTTCACAGCTGTGGGCTATGATCGAGATTCGGCCCCCGGGGTCACAATCGCCGCAGAGATTAGCCCAGCCGACGCAGGCACCTCCTTCCCACTCGCTACCTTTGGTGCATCCACCAACAACTGCCCAATTGTCACAACCTTGGATATCGGTTTCGACAATTCGGCAGAGTTGGATTATTAAAATTCGACTCCATAGAAAGTGATTTTGGTAAGGGCTTGAGGTCGATGTGGTAGAGGTATTAATAATTTGCTCTAATGGGTTCATTAGTGTATGGAAAGTTTGCGGGATTTCTGTGATGATGGGATATGGGTATTTTTGTTATGATGGTGTGTGGGTTTTTGGGCTATGTGTGTGTAGATGTTAGGATATATATATATATATATAGCTGCAAAAATTGGGCCACTTCCACTGGTCTAACCCAGAGATCCACTGGGCGCAAATCTGTGGGCATGACTGTGCAAGAAAATATGTGATTTGTGTCATGGGGAGCGCTGTGACAGTTTGGGCACTGATCGCATGTTCTAAAAATAATTCGTGATTGATAATTATTTAGAATGGTGCTCCACCTGGGGAGGCGCTTTTCGGAGTCACTGATTGTGGGGGATGTTCATTAAGGGCTTTTTTAGTCAATATACGTCGACGGCTTGATTCGCCGATCGAGTGTGCAGCTATTTCAGACTTGGAGCTATTGACGATCTTTTGATGTCGGATGGTATTACGTCTTGGATGTCTGGACGGAATTGTCTGATATCCTTCCGGATGTGTCGTGGAGGAGGATCCTGCACAACTATGTGATGGTTGGCGTGACTTGGCAGATGGCAGCCCAGAAGGAACTGTCTAGCAAGCAACACATTATGTTGCTGTCCTGACAGTATTCTTGTCTCTTCATGAAGGTGATCCACGCTCGACATCTTGATACATCCGGTAGCTGAGAACTTTTCCATTGAAATAAGCAGGTTATCAAAAACTACTCCCAGTATTTTGAAATGTTGGACTGTCGTAATTCTTCGGTCATCGACTATGATATCAAGCTCTGTCTTAAGTTCAGGTGTCCAGGAGGTAAATAACGTCGCAGTAGATTTGTATGGGGATATAATCAATTTATTTTTCTGCTTGAATGCTGGCGAGTGACCCAGACATTTGAAATGGTTATTTAGAGGCGGTCATTTTCTCGGAGACTCTCCCTGAGTCCGCTGATTGTCCGCGAATGTTTATTTGTTATTCACAGTTACCCAATGAATAGTATTGGGTTCCCACTGTCCGCAACCTGTGGACGCGTCCGTTAGCATTCAGCTCTGCTCCTGCTCGGAAACTATAAATATCCATAAAAATCAAAATTCGAAAATACAGGCAATTCCGTATTGCATCGGCTGGAACCTTCAAAATTTGCACCAACATTTTGACTTTTCCATAAAAAAAAGTCCACTAAGCGATTAGTCGAAAGTCGATTTACTTATCCCTAATACAACAATGTAATTTAGAACAACAATAAAACAAAAAGGATGCCATTCATGGCCTACCCTTAGAAGAGGCAATGCCTCCTCATTTTTTTTTTTTGCAATGGACAAATTAGAAATGTGTGCTGTCATTAAATATTTACATAAAAAGGGTTTATCGGGACAAGAAATTCACAATGATATGGTGAATGTATTAGGTGAGGGTGCTCCTTCGTATGCAACAGTAAAAAATTGGATTGCTGAATTCAAACGAGGTCGTGCATTGAAGATGAACCCCGTAGTGGGCGTCCAAAAACAGCAACAACAACAGAAATTGTAGCCAAAGTACATGATATGGCGTTAAATGATCGACGAATAAAAGTACGTGAAATTGCTAATATCCTGGGCATCTCAAATGATCGAGTCCATTTAATTTTGCGCGAAGAACTACAGATGAAAAAACTTTCTGCAATATGTGTGCCGGATTTCTTAACAGACGATCAAAAACGCATAAAAATAAAGATTTCTCAAGATTGTTTGGAACGTTTTAAGCGAAATAAAATAGATTTTAAGCGTCGTTTCATAACTGTTGGTGAAACATGGATCGACCACTATTCTCCAGAGACAATAGAACGATCCAAACGATGGACTGAATCTGGGGGAAGTGCCCCAAAGAAGGCAAAAACAATTCAATCGGCTGTTAAGGTTATGGCAACGGTTTTTTGGGACTTCAAAAGTATTTTATTGATTGACTATCTGACAAAGAGTAAAACAATAAATTCAAAATACTATTGCAACCTTTTGGATCAGCTAAATGTACAAATTCGAGAAAAACGTCCTGGCTTACAAGACCAAAAAATTGTTTCATTTCGTAGTAATAACATTTTTTGCTGTTTCTTGTTTGGTGCATTCAGTTGTGAGTTACAGGGTGTTAAAAATGGAAGTGAACAAAGATAAAATTCGGTCGTATATACTTGTATATATATATATATATATATCAGTTTTTGACAGTTACGTTACAGGGTGTTAAAAATGGAAGTGAACAAAGATAAAATTCGGTAACTTTTTCAGTTTTTTTACAGTTACGCGTAAAACTAAGCGACTATATATCACTAGTCCTGAGATTTGAGATGTAGATGTCGTTATTCCTAATAGAGACAGGAACTGGTGTAACCCTCCTCTGGACGGTCTGAATTTCTATACAGACGGAGTCTGGATTGCAACTGTAGTGTTTTCCAAGCTAAAATCTTCGCGATTTGGAAGGCAGCGGAATTGATAAAAAGTGGATTGTCAAGCGGCTCTTAAAACCATCAAATCTTATTATATTAAATCTGAGGCCGTCATCAAGTGTAGAACAGCTTTGGAAGAACTTACAGCAATCGGCTGTGTTGGGTACCAGGACACTGTGACATCATGGGTAATGAAAGAGCTGGACGAGGAACTCAATCCACAGATCTAGCAACTGATGACTCAATCAAACCACCCATATGACATCTTTATCGGAACTTTGAGGCGTTCATCGACGAAAGAGCCTATGATCTTTGACACAACGAACCCTAGGTGCAATTTGTCAAGATCTATTTGGCCGATTCTGTCTACCAAAAGGACACACTCACTGTTGAACCTGAGCAATGCTGAAATGGGTGTAATGACATGAATCATTACTGGTCATTGCAATATCAGGGCCTTTACTAGTAATCATTGATCATGATGCACTTGATTACTTTTGACTATGCGTTGACGAGAAGGAGACGGAGCATCACCTCTGTCACGGTCCAGTCCTGGCTTACAGGCGGCACAGACTAGTGGGTGCTCATTTTCCACCGAGTCTTAGTTTCTTTTTTCAACAACTGAACCTGCTCTAATCTACAGCATAATTAGAAACCTAAAGTAGTTGGGAAAGTACAACATTGACACGAAATACATCTTCTGTCCGATCTTTATAGCCATCGATACTATTTCGAACTTACCTTATTACATTTTCTTGTAAGCTTCTCATCTCTATCCCCCCTTCTTATCTCCCCTATAGATCACTCCATATCTCTTTCTTTTCCTGGATGATCACAACGGTCTCAGAGTGCTGCAGCCACATAAGTGACTGCACATCCTCAAACCTAACCTACAGTTTTTCTTTGACAAAGGCGAAAATGCAAGCCAAGATCACAATAAATTTCTATGTCGATTTATACGTGTCCGTCTGTTGAAATCACGATAGAGATTGCAGAGCTCTAAAATTTCACAAAGACACTCCTACTACTCCTAGGTACTGCAAATGGAATATATCGGTCCATTTTTTGGTATAGTCCCATATATAACCGTACCTCGCTATATTCAATATATTGGGAATTTTGGACATGTCTTACAACAAAATATTAATATTGGCACAAGTTTCAGGGTAGCCCCCATATAGGTTAGGATTTGGTACAAAATTATATAGCCCCATATAATAATCTAATCTACTATTTATTATTTTGAGAGTTTAAATCAGATTTTCCTCATGCCTTTTTCGGTATATTCAAGGTCCTGTCATACAATAGGTTCGTTCGTTTACTTTCCCAGTAATATTTACTCAGTAAGAATTTGCAGAGAGTAAATACGAATTTTTCCTTTTCAAGAGAGAAAACTGCAAAAAGTAAACGAACAACATCCAGTAAAAAGATTGTTTCGACACAGCTGATTAAAACAACAAACAAATTTAATAAAAAAACAGCATTAGAAAAATGGATAACAAGGGAAAATTATATTTTTCCCCACAAACATTTAAAAGGGTTGTGACCTGTTAAGCAATTGATATGGGGGTGGACAAACCGATGGTGTTCCAGACAAGGAGCACAGATTTTAAAAAAATTAAATCTCTTGTATTTTATTTTTAAATACTTGCGTTTTCTTCATCCATTTTTATTTAATGATACAAAATCAAAATAAAATTCACAAAACAATCAATTTTATGAGAACAATTTTTAAAAGACAGCTGATTAAATATACTAGGAAAATTTTCTGAGTAAATTTTCCTTGTAAGAATTTGCAAATACTCAGTAACACAAAAATCTCTCTCTCAATTCACTCTCCTGGACTTTTGGGTAAAGCAACATTTTAATAATTTACCCCCCAATTTGTGTGCAAAAATTGCCAATATTGGCAACGCTGGCTATGGCCATGTCGCGATGGTTTGTGTGTGTGTTGTGATAGCACACAACTGTCCGCTTAATTAATATCAATTTGTTTAAACATTATAGTTCATTTTTGGGCCATAGAATTGTGTTATCCCGATCTATAATGTCCAAAGTCAATGAACTCTTCAAGGTATTTGTCTACGGGACATTGAAACGTGGAGAACCAAATCATGACTGGTTGACAAAGGCCGAAAATGGATATGCTCGTTTTATAGCCAACGGACAGACAGATGAGAAATTTCCACTTGTTGTGGGTACACGTTATAATATACCATTTCTATTAGACAAACCTGGTGTGGGTCATAATATTCAAGGTGAAATCTATGAAGTTGATAAGTCAATGTTTGGCAACTTAGATATACTGGAAGATTATCCCAACTATTATGATCGTGAAATACAAAATATAACAACAACGTCCGATGGCGATGATAAGAAGGAGTATGTACAAATGGAGAGGAGGGGATTAAGATTTGAAACATGAATATAATTTGTTTAATTTTTTGTAGGTCTGTCCCCTGTTGGATTTATTTGATACGTAAATTCCCCGCCAAGCTATTGGAAAAGGAACATTTAACCGCGTACCATAATACACCGGCTAAACCATATAGAGAAAGGTCTGAACGTGATGTGAATATAAAATCTATTGATGATATGAATTATTGAATTATTAGATGCCTCAACTTGTGTTGATGTTTGATTTGATATAGGGGTAATTTTTTAGTTAAATGTTGAACATTTATAGATTTTGTTTGACCTCCCATTTCTATTAAAAAACCGTTTCAATTTACATGATTATGGTATAGTGTTATTTCAAAAAGATTACAAAAATAAAATTCTTGTTCCTTTTGTTTCTTTTTCAGTTATTTGGACAGCGACAAAGACGATATGTATGAGGACGAAGAAGCTCCAAAGCTGTAACCATTGTTTTGTTGTAATTATTGTTTTGTAAAGTTCAAAACTTTTGTATATTTTGTATAAATATAGACTACATTAGATAGGTTGATTAAATTTCGGGTTTTTATTTAAGGATCATGCATGTCATAATCATATGGTATGATCCCGTACTGCAAGAATTTTCTGTTGTGTTATCGACAAAAATAGTAAAACTACTAGAACTTGTACATAAACAGATCAATGCATGATTATGTGGAGATTTTTGTCTAAGCTTCTGATATGCTCTTAAAAAATCATTCTTCATATAATGTAAACCTCCGGTACTCCCTTAAGATATATTCTTTAAATGACCTCCCCATCAGGCAGCCCTTAAAAAAATAAATAATCTAAACCTCCGATAAAACCTCTAAACTTCTGATACCTCCTTAAAAAATATTCTTAGAATAAAATTCGTTTCTGATAGTAAATTAAAATATTCATTGAATATTTTTGAAACAATGTAAACCTCGGATATTCCCTTAAAAATATTCAATAAATGACCTACATATGCTTTAAATAGTCCCTTACAAAATATTTTATATTTCCGACCCTATCAGCGAATAATTCTATGACGATTTTCTATGAGCATGTCCGTCTGTCTGTTGTAATCAATCTGGCGTCTAAACGACTCTATCGCCAAAATATTGCATAGAGTCGCCCTTTGTCTGCAGGCAGTTCAAGTTCGAAGATGGGCTATATCGGTCCAAAGCTCCCATATAAGGGTACCCCCCAATTTTCGATATTTTGAGGGCGTTTTTCAACCGAATCCACTGAAATTTGGTACATTGGGTTCTTATGGGGTACCATATTTATCCATTAAAAATTACAAATATTGGTCCACTTTTTCTGCTAGCTACCATATAAAGGTAGCCCCTAATTTTCGGTATTTTGTGGATATTAAGCGAATTTTTTCACCGAATCCACTGTAATTTGGTACATTGGGTTCTTATTGGGTAGCAAATCTCTCCATTAAAAACTACAAATATAGGTCAATTTTTTCGGATAGCCGACCTATAAGGCTACATCCCGTTATTGGTATTTTCTGGGTCTTGAGCGCATTTTTAGACCAAATTGACTGTAATTTAGTATATTGGGTTCTGGTTGGGAAGCAAATTTCTCAATTAAAAATTACAAATATAGGTCAATTTTTTCGGGTAGCCTCCATATAAGTTCACCGCCAATTATCGGTTGGGGTTCTTGAGCGCGTTTTCAACCGAATTGGCTGTAAATTGGTACAGTGGTTTCTTGTTGGGTAGAAAATCGATCCATTATAAATTTTAAATATAGGTAACTTTTTTGGGGTTGCCTCCATATAAGAATACCTCCCATTTTCGGTATTTTGGGGTTGGGGCACGTTTTTCAGCGGAATTCGTTATTCGTAAAAATTTGGTACATTAGGTTTTTGTTGGGTAGCAAATCTCTCCATTAAAAATTACATATATAGGACAAGTTTTTCGGGTAGCCCCCATATAAGGATACCCCGAATTTTCGGTATTTTTGGAGTTCTTGAACGTGTTTTACAACCGAATTCGCTGTAATTTTGTACATTGGATGGTTATGGGGTACCAAATTCCACCAATAAAAATTATAAATATGTGTTCTTGTTGGGTAGCAAATCTCTCCATTAAAAATTACAAATATAGGTCAATTTTTTCGAGTAGCCCCCACATAAAGATAGCCCCAATTATCGAAATTTGGGGGTTCTTGGGCGCATTTTTCGTCCGATTTCGCTGTAATTTGATCTGTTGTAGTCGTAATATGGTAACAAATCTCCCTCCCAAAAATTATTAATATTCGCCACCTTTTAAGGGTAGTATATACCATTAACCCCCTTTTTATATTAAAATATTTATTTGATTTGTTCCACGTTTGTGGGTTGGTTCTATGACTCTGTTGCAATCATTCTATCGATATGAAATACTAGAATGTAAAATTCGAGAATGAACTTTATCGGCCCACATTTCGGCTTAGCTCCCATATGATGATATCTACCGATTTTCGGTATTTGAATATTTAGCGTAAAGGAAGGTATTGTAATGCAAAAATGTTAGTTCCGAAATTAAGCTATATCAGTCCTCAATTGGGCATAGTAACTCATATAATAATAACTACAAATGTTCGGTAATTCCTACACGATGCAATCAATATTGGTCCGCTTTAGGTATAGCCTCCAGGATCGTACACATACAATTTTTTTCATATTGAACCACCCGAAATAAAACATGTGTACGTTGGTGATGGTCTTATATAACTGTACCCTCTAAATTTGGGGATGTTCTACCCTCCCATGCATTTGGTGTACATTATGGTTTACATAAATCGTTTTGAAGAATTGTCGATATAGGCCCACGTTTTGGAATTTTCAATATATGTTCATTTCCAGTTCCTGTCAGGTTACCTATGGTGGGAGGAATCCAAAGATATTAACCGAACTTAACGCTTTTCTCACTTGTTTAAGTAATATAACCCTGTGATAAATTGTGAAAATATCTGTGCTTCTGATAGGTCCTTAAAAAATATCCTATAAATGACCTGCCAATTAAATTCTTCTTTAAATAATCTACGCTTCTGACAGTCCTTGAAAAATTACTTGAAACAAAATCCACGCTCTGATGGAGATTGGAAACAATTTAGTAAAAAAAAATGAATTAACAACTCCATGCTATATCCGACTGTCAAAAGTGTGAACCACAATAGGAGATATACGATTTATTCCGAATTCAGATTAAATTCTATTCTATATAATGACATTCGTATTCATTCTTCTATATGGAACACAACTATTATTAAAGCTGGCATGCGAATCTATATGAGAATACAATTTTTATGGTCTTCACACACCCAAAAGCATATCTTTCAAATATGATTTTGTTTATATACTTGGAAGATATTTACTTTCCTAATGTGTTTATGTTGACTTCATCGACTTGTTTAGTGGTCAGTTTCCTCTTAATGTATTTATTGAAATCAGCTCAGTTTAGTTGTTATTTCTGTTTAATTGCTTATTAAGCTATTTTGTTTTATTTACTCTTTTTTTCTGTTTACATTTCCATGTTTTCTTTTTCTTTTAGTTACCCGTTTCCTCTTTTTTCGCAGAGTTTTAACGTTTTCATTTCATTTGTTTTCTTTAGATTTCTTTATCAATGATACAAAAATTAGTAAAGAAAATATTAAAAAAAAAAATTGTAAACATACAAAAAAGGATATCGGGTATTATGAGGCTGTTGTGTGGGGGATTCACAAAAAATAACGGGAAAAGACTAAACAGAAATGTTCTTACTTATCATCCAAAAGGAGCTTGACTGTGATGATGATGGCTACACTCTTCGGTATCAAAGAAAAAAGGCAGGCGGGGCGGGTAGTTGCTTGGTTGGCATTAACACAACAAAATTATTTTTGTTTGAAAGCGGTATTTGTTTTCTTTCTTCATCATATAAAAAAATTAATGGCAAAAATAGAAATAAAAAAACGTTGTAAGGGGAAAGAAAGATATGGCTCTTCTGGATGATGGATTGGTTGATGTGCGGGGGCATGGATTCTGTTCACTTGACATAAATCAATGAAAATTGATTTTTTTTTCTTCTTTTGTTTATATAGAGAGGCAGTTCCACAAAAGGCTTAATTTATATTCTCTTTCCCCCAAGATATATTTATATTGTTGCTGTTGTTGAATGTGTGTTATAAAGGTGTTGTATGCGTTTCTGTGTGTGTGTGTGTGTCTTAGCTTTCGGCTTCGTCCAGCGATTGGAAACGATTAGTGGCCTTTGTTGGGGCCGCACTTTGTTCCTTTACCCTTTGCAAACGACCACCATGACGGACTTCTTCAAATGCGGGTTCATTTTTCTTTTTACGTTGTTCCTCGGGCCTAGCAGCTCCCAGTGAGGGGAAGTAGTCGGCATTTGTAATATCAGGGGCGACTTTCGAGCGTAATTTTGGTTTTATGCCACTTCCTTGCTGTAATTAATAGCGAATATAAATTTGTTATTGAAATTTAAATCTCTAATTTTTTTGAAAAACTTACCGCCGCTGCTGCTCTCAAAGCTGGCGACACATAGGTTTTTGATTTTGCAGGCACAGGCATTTCCATGGGTATTTGTGTTACCTCTTCGGCGGGAATGACTTTTTTCCAAACGCCGCTACCGCTCTTTTTGCCTGTTTCGCTGTTGACATTGCCATCACTTTCACCATCTTCATCCTGACCCTCTGAACCGCTATAATCATCATCGTCATTCAATGTCAATTGGCCGATTTTCAGACCGGAATAATCCTTGCGTTGTTCCTCTTCGATTTCCTTCCATTCATCTTCCTGGGGCTAGAACGGAGAATGAAAATAAATATTAAAGCAACAACAACAAAAAATTATAATGACTTAAAAAAGTGAAACTTGTCCGGTGTCCATTCAATATTTTTATTTTTGGAACAACTCTAGTTTAGTAAAAACGACCCGATTTTTTTGAAATTTTTTTCAGAGGTAGTTATTTTGACCCTAATTATGGGAATGTTTTTTTTTTCTTGGGGGACGTACCCGGTTATTTGACCCGAAAGTTCGTCTCCGGGTTCCCGGTTATACCCGGTTCTACGGATCCGATTAATACAAAATGGGTATCATTTTAAAGGTTATAAAAATACCTTTCCAATGAGTGGTGATATGATGGGGTTATCTCAAACCGTTTTGGAGTCAGATTTTGGACCCCTATTTTTATGGAAAACTCCCAAAAAGTCGAACTTGGGTCCATTATGGTCCCTCTCGACTTCTTACTTAAATGATAGACTACAATTTGCTCTTTCCAAAATGGTATGTTTAGTATTAACATGAATGTCTTATATGCAAATGCAAAGATATGAGATATGACAGGTACTAACACCGGCTACGCGACAGAATCTCCTTTTATATAGAATAGTTTTCTGGGTAGCCGGCCTTCGGCCGGGGATTTAAGACTTTCTCCTATGGACAGATACCAACACCGGCTACGCGACAGAATCTCCTTTTATATAGAATAGTTTTCTGGGTAGCCGGCCGTCGGCCGGGGATTTAAGACTTTCTCCTATGGACAGATACCAACACCGGCTACGCGACAGGAATAGTTTTTGGGTAACCGGGGATTTCTTTCTCCTATGGACAGGTGCCAACACCGGCTACGCGACAGAATTTTCTTGTTTTTGTAGGGTTCTAAGGCCCATATCTTTTGATCCACAGCAGATACAGCCACATATCACACCATTTTGCAAAGGGCAAATTGTGGTCTATCATTTGTCGGTTGTGGAGAGGGACTATAATGAACCCAAGTTCGACTTTTAGGGAGTTTTTCAAAAAAATAGGGGTCCAAAATCCAGTTTTTTGGCTGTGTCTCCAAAACGGGTTGGAAAGGTATTTTTATAACCTTTAAAATGATACCCATTTTGTATTGATCGGATCCGTAGAACCGGGTACCCGGACCCGAACGGGTCAAATAACCGGGTACGTCCCACAAGAAAAAAATATATCCCCATAATTAGGGTAAAAATACCTACATCTGGAAAAAATTTCAGAAAAATCTGATCGTTTTTACTAAACTGGAGTTAAGCCAATATTTTTATTTTTGTTGGTTTGTGATGGCTTTTCGCACGGCCTGACAGTTTTCGTTTTTTTTTTTGCCAGCGTGTCTTTGTTTTGCATTCTCTGCTGCTCATCACCAACATCATCGTCACACCACCACCACACCACACACATTACTCACTTGTTCGACGGCAGCAGGCTTGTCTTCTGCGGACTCGCCGACTTCTGGAACTGTGGTTTCTGGCTTTTTCGGTTTTACCACTTCGCGTTTGGACGATTCTTCCAAATTCTTGACCAACTCCTCGGCAGTCAAGAATTTTGGTTTCTTCGACTTTTTCTTGTCTTTCTTGGCAAAGAAATCATCTAAATCGGCCATATTGCTACAAAAAACGACGAACGGGGGTCACTACTTGGACTCGTTGGATGTCTGGAAAGTGTGAAGACAATATTTTAGAAATGATCACAGCCAAGCAATTAATAGAAATCGATTGAACAGTTTATGCAAAGAATCGGCAAATATGCAGAAAATGCATTTCTTTTTTTACACTTTTTTCTAGCTTACCCACTTACGAACTTAACCACGTTTCCTCAAATATTGTATTTCTCTTTTTCGACGCCGTCTGCTTTAGGACCTTTGACTTTGTTTTCTGTACTTGCAGAAAAAATGAAAAACGTTCCAGCTGCACGAAGAGTGGGGAAGAAGAGAAACTGACCGATAAAGAAGTAACTCAAAATGGAAGAAGGAAAATTTACGAAAGAATTGTGTGAGATAGACACCACTGAAGAGTGAGCGATTTGTTGAGAAAGAGGCATAGAGAGAATTGCCAATTAGGGATACCGCAAGTCGGCGATATTGGCAACACTATCGATAATAAATGTTTCAAAGTGGTGTATGGTATGTTCCCGTACAAAAATTTTCCTATTTGATATTAAAATGGTGTAAAAATTAGTATATTCTTGCAGTACGGAAACAGACTCATTCATGATGTTTGATGTAGTGGCAGATGGTCGAGGCAAAAACTATGTTTTTGTTGTGATACATCACCTTATTACTGCATCATGGAATAGTCATGCATTTTTCGTTAACAGGTAACATAAGGCAACGCAAGGCGAGCAGAATATTAGGAGTGTTCGTTAACTCACAATTTTTCCAGAAAACAGCAGCAGATATTTTATCAGCTGTTTTGTTATAATTTGTAAACAAACAAAACAATTTGTGGAACAAATGCACAGGTCTCATAGGCAGGCCTTCTGATGCTGATTACAGCAACATACATTTTTTCTGGGGGAAATCAGTACTTCCCGAGATATGGGGTTCCAAATTTAAAAAAAATACCTCCCACTTTTTATTGAATATATTTAAGAATACCACTCGGAAACGTTAATTTCAATTTTTTTAAATAACCGGCCTTTGGTCGGGATTTTAAGACTTTCTCCTATGGACAGGTGGAAAATTGGGTTACGCGAGCAGAATTCTCTTTTAATTTCATTTTTTCTAAATAGGCGGCCTTCGGCCGGGAATTTAGGACTTGGGTTACGCGAGCAGAATTCTCTTTTAATTTGAACTTTTTCTAAATAGCCGGCCTTCGGATTGTACAACCTATTATTTTTACCTAGCCTAGATTAAGTCTGAAGATGGGATCCATTGGTCCACTCCTTCTGGTACCTCCCATTGTCAATATTTTCAATATTTATAAATTCAATATTAGACGAATGGAGTGACCGATTTGAAGTAGGGTAAGTAAATAAATTCAATATTATGCCATGTTCTGACGGGAATTCGAATAACGTAGTTCGCTCTCAGAATTACGTACATGAATTAACCCGTTCATACAACACTATTCTTAATTCATGTCATCAGAGTTTTTTATTTCAAACTTTTTGTTTCTTGTTTTACACCAAAATTGTAACATATTTGTGTGAATCACATATGGATCTAAATAGAAAAAATAATTCTCTTTCTCCTGACTATAATATCAACCCCTATCTCTTTACTTTAATTCCTGTTTTTAATTTTTCCTGAAAATATTGTTGTTTTCAATATATTTTTATATTTTCTCACCACAGATGTCACATTTAAAAAATTGGAGAATTTTTGTTTGGGTTTCCCCACTTTTGTCTCAAAATTTGCATCCTTCTGCATATATAAGAACTAGAATTTTGTTTACTTTTCATTCATCATTTTCAGTTTTACTGAAAAACTTTGAAAATTTTAAAAAAAATTTCATGCTGTCAAAATTAATTTATTTTCGATAAATTCTCTCAATTGTTAGAGGTGGGACAAAATTCTTGGTGATTCAGAGAGTGATTCGAATTGAACAACGTACAAAAGTCGGTGTTCGCTCAGACAATTTTGTATGGGGAACTAAGTAATTTTTTCTTAATTAAGGGTCGAACAACAAATGAGAGAGCGAAAAAAGCTCGTCTGTATATTGTATTAGGCGAATGGAGTGACCGATTTGAAGTAGGGATAAGTAAATCGACTTTTTGTATTGTAAAGTCTAAAATTCGAAGTCGACTTTTGATCTATGAGCAAATCGTAAAGTCAACTTTTCAAGATCGACTTTCGATTTTCTTCATAAATACTTGGTTTTTTTTATCACAAAGCTCAAATTGCCCAAAAATTGCACTTTCCGGAATTTTACTTTATCTGTTCACAATAATTCATAAAAATAATATTTAGTAGATTTTGCAGGAGTCAGTAAAAGTCGAAAATCGATTTCGAACAGTTTTGACAAAATCGAAAAGTCTAAAAATCGACTTTTGCGCTCGACTGCGTATCCATAATTTGAAGCAAACTTTACACCTGAAAGTGACTCTTTGCAAAAAAAAATAATTTCTTTATAAAATCAATTTGGGGGAAATCTCTCGCGGAAGAAAAAGACGAAAGGGAAAAAGAAACAGAACACTATGAAAAGGAATCCTATATGAATTTTCGAATGGTTTGTGGCCCTACGCCTGGCGGATGTGTATGCGACCTGGGTCGGTAACACGTAATGTATACCTAAATTTCTTACGGGAATACCGATATCGTAACATCATTTTCTGTTAAATACATTGAGAACAAATTTCTTTACTCTCTGAAATGCAATGGAATAATGAGAGAAAAAAAAACTTTAGAGAGTTTAAAAATTATTTATTTGGTTGGCAACATTCCGAAAGTTATATGATGTGTTCCATAATGGGGAAATCGAATTTTTGTCCCTGCTACAGAAATGTATTAAATATTCCAAAAGAAGCGAATATATATACATATATAAATCTTTATTATAAATTATAAAAAATATAGTTTTATGGATTTTTTCTCCTACGAACTTTGTTTACCCAATTGTTGTGTGCTTATTGTAAACCCTCGATTTCAATTTAAGTAAATATCTATTGACGAGTTCTTACAATGAACTTAATACAAAACTGAAGAGGCGTTAGGCTGCCTCTTATAATTTTCCCTGTGCCGGAAAAAATTCTTTCGCAGGTGATTTTTTTTTTTTTTTTTTTGAGAGAGTTACATCCTTTTCGGTTACATCCAATTATTCAAAAGTAATAATAAATCTTGTAGAATCAGATATTGCGTCTTTAAACAATAGTATACGCTCTACCATCTCATATGTGGAGTTTTACCTCGTTGAGACCGACTGCTTTAATTTTAATTCGGGAAGACCCATCATTTGTTCAATAGTTTCTTGGAATGCTAGGCGCTCCTTCGGAAGTGCTCTACAATAGATTTTACTTTTACCAAAGTATCCTTGTTGGGTTTTAGACCAGATTCCACTATTAAAATTAAGGAATAAGCGAAACATCCAATACCTCTCCATTGTTCCTGTAGCATTGCAGTGGTTGTTTGCCGCACTGTCACTCACTACTGCTGTTATTTCATTTTCAATCTGAAAATCTGTTATCAACGATTTTAAAAATTTCGTTAACTTATCAGCAGTTTGGTCCTCTTTCAATTCCTCGCATGACAATAAGTATGACCTTAGGGTACTATTTTCGTCAATAAATTGACCGCTTACGGGCATATAACATGTATTAGAGTGCGAAGTCCATCCATTCGTTGTTAGGCATATGTATAACCAAAGCTGATCGTACTGGTTCTTTCACGGTATACAAAATATCGTTATACACTTTCGGCAACAATTTTTTTGCAAGTGTTTACCTCATAGGTAGTGTATGCCCAGGGCACTGTGACACAGCTAGTATTATTTTTTTAAATTCTGGCTCTTCAACTATTTTTAATGCATGCTAACATTTTGAACACTTTTGCTAACATTTTGAACACTTGCCTATCGATCTTTTCCACCTTTCTTATTGGTGGTGGTCTGCGGATGTACTGGGCTATGGTTTGTTGTGGATTTCGAATTTGGGTACTTGTGGTCCGCAAATCTAATTCAACCGTTTCAACATTTTGACAAATCTGTATTTTTATGGGAGTATCTTCCCTTTTCATATGAGTAAGAGGGTTTTTATTCCCTATATGTCGACTTAAATTCCCGAGGCATCCCCCAGCGATTCTATGTTTTTTTTTTTTTTTTTTGAGAATTCCTTCAGTCTACTCCATTCACATCCATTCAGATCGGTTAGTTTGTGAACAGTGGCATATCCCAAGAATTGTTTTCGAAGGCATGTAGATGCTTGGCAGTGGTACAGAAAATATTCCAGCGTTCCACTGTCTTCCCCACACGCTCTGCACCTGCTGCTTCCCTCGCATCCAATCTTGAGCAGATGTGCTTTCAGGTTTAGTTGTCCCGTAAGAATACCCGTCAGTCTACTAATTTCTTTTTTGTTTAGCGTTAGGATTTGCTTAGCATTGTCTAATTTGGGTCACCCCATAAAATTTTTGTGATCTTTCCTGTCCTGCCTTCATTATCAAAAAAGAGTTTTGTGGGCAGTACTCACATCTATTGTGGCATTTCTAGCTAGTTGGTTGACTATCCCGTTGCCTGTTACTCCTGTGTGAATCGGTATCCATATAATTCGTATAGGTTCTTGTTGTTAGAATATGTTAATGGTATTTATACATTCCAATACAGATAAAAAGGGCAATGGATTCCGAAGTGGAGAATATTTAAAACGCCGACGATTTAAACTGCTTAAATTCTTTTTTATTTCAAATATTACAAAAAATTTCAACACAGATCAATTGATTTAAAGATGTAAAAAATTTAAATATGATATTTCCGGAGCAGTACCAACGGCCATTCAATTCAACGAGGAAACGGAGCTAAATTTGGCAAGATACCGATATCTTGTCAAAAGCTACAATACTCTATACTCGGACAGACAGAGGGACTACCAGCGTAGCATAATTATTAAATTCAGTTGAGGTGTTTTTTTTACTGAGAATAGAGTGTATCAGAGAAGGAGTAATCAATACTTTTTGTTTTGGTTACGATTCGGGGTTGAGTCCAGGTTTCGAACTCCACCAAGCGGA